GTTAGCAGCATGGAGCTCTCTGTGGACTGCTGAATGCCGAGAGGCACAGGTTTTTGGGTGACACTAACTTTGAGTCCCACTGACAGAAGCGTGGCTAGGAAGAGCTCTTAGTCCAGGGAAAGATTTGGGCTCAGTGGACTGCCTCATGTGGTCTGGATAGCCAGGGTCCCCGTGGGCCCACAAAAGCCCTGAAGAATGGGGTAAACCCTTGCCCAGTAGATGTCCCGCTCGACTGGCTGTGTCTCCAGGGACCTGCCCAGGAATCATGACTCATGGAATCTGGAACCCAGCCGGCAGGTGTCATTGACTCAGACCTACCGAGGTCATCCATGACTGGTTGCCATAGAAACACGGGGTGTGAAGACTGGTGAACCAGGGGAACATGGCCATCCATTCTGAAGGCACATGAAGACATGTTCCAATAATGGTCAAGTGGGGTAAGGGCGTGTAGAACTCAGGACCTACAGAGCTGGGGGTCATCCAGAACTGAAATCCAAATCACTGTTTTTTGGTTTCCTAAGTGGTTCACCTCACAGCTATTGCTGTACTCGTAGCAAACCCGACAGCAGGCAGAGCTTTTAGTCTGGAGAGTGGCTCATGTGAGTAGTGAGGTTTCTAGACTCAATTGCAAAGCATGACTTTAAGCATCACACATGTAGTTGTCACCCAGCAGGTCTGTTACTTTTTCTTTTATATATATATTTTACTTGTTGATAGACCTTTATTTTATTTATATGTGGTGCTGCGAATCAAACCCACTGCCTCACGCTTGCTAGGCAAGTGAGCTACCACTGAGCCCCAGCTCTAGCCCCTGGTCTATGACTTTTTTGTGTTTGTGTGTGTACTGGGGATTGAACTCAGGGGCCTTCAACCACTGATCCACACCCCCAGCTCTACTTTGTATTTTATTTAGAGACAGGTGAGTTGCTTAGCACCTCGATTTTGCTGAGGCTGGCTTTGAATTCATGAGCCTCCTGCCTTAGCCTTCCCAGAGGCTGGGGTTACAGGTGTGAGTCGCTGCACTTGGCTAGGTCTCTTACTTTTTAAGGAGTTGAGAGAAAGCACAGTGGAGTTAACATGGTTTTCCCTGATCTCCTGGTTTTGGAAGAGTCAAATATTTGAATTTTTATGTGACTTTTATTTTATAAATGTGGGAAAATATTTCTGGAAAATTTCAATACAAATTTAATTCAACAAAATCTTTAAATTGGCTATACAGATGCATCTCAACCTAGGATGGGACTGTGTCCTGATAAACCCATTGAAAATATCATATTTCCCATGTGCTTTTCCCCTGTGGGGCCAGCTGTCTCCAGTACACAGCAATAATACACACAGTGTGAGATCAGTACGTGAGAAGACTCAAGCTTGAGCTCAGGGAGAGGCATCTAGTACTTTCTTTCCATATGGTGCTCTTCTCTCTCCCTCTGAAGGGTTCAGCTGATGGTGGGGCTATGATATGGGCCCTGCACAGATCTTGCAGAATAACTAAACACTAGACAAATGTCCCTGAGGCCCACCTGTGTGCCAGGCCCTTGCCTGTTGACTGGAGTATACATATTCATCTCAAGCTGATGTGCAATAGAGAGAATTAACATACAGACCAAAGAATAGGAAAATTACAGAAGCTAGGATTCTGAAGAACATTCAAGGGAGATGGCAGAAAGCCATGAACATCACTTCACATTGGTAGCTGGGAAGGCCTTTCCAAAGAGGTGAATTAGGAAATGACCTGAGCATTTGAGAGCCATGAGGTCAGGAGAAAAAGGCAGGGCTTGAGGTCAAGAACTGGGTCATACTGGCGCTGCAAGCTGGGTGAGGTGTTTGGTTTATTCTAAGCCCAATGGGAAGGACTCATGGCACCACAGATTCAGGCTGGGAGAGCGAACACTGGGGACAGGCTGATGTCGCTGGGCAGGTGATGTGCAGTTGGTAGCTTCCTGGTATGGAGAAGGTCAATTCAGAATAGTAAGGTGTGAAGGACACATGGTTAGTCTTCATGCTAGAAGAGTGTGTTTCATCAGTGGGTGTGGAGACCAAGTTGGGACATGCTTGGCAGGAGAGGGTGCGCCTCATGTGGTGACCACTGCAGGGAGGACCCCCATAGGCAAGACTTCCAGGACATTTGCATTCACTGTGAGCCCTGCATGCCTATAATTCCAGTTACCTGGGGCTGAGGGACTGTCTTTTGCTGCCTGGGTCTCTGTAATAGAAGACCTACATCTGGGTACTTGTTTTTTTTGGTTGTTGTTGTTGTTTGGACAGGACTGGGGATCTGGGGATGGAAGCCGGGGCTTAAGCATGCTAGGCAAGCACTCTGCCTCTGAGCTGCATTCTCAGCCCTTTTTGATTTTTTTTTTTTTTTTTAGTTCTCGGCGGACACAACATCTTTGTTGGTATGTGGTGCTGAGGATCGAACCCGGGCCGCATGCATGCCAGGCGAGCGCGCTACCGCTTGAGCCACATCCCCAGCCCCTCTCAGCCCTTTTTGAGACAGGATCCCACTAAATTGCCCAGGTTGGCCTCGAACCTGCGTTCCTCCTGCCTCATCCTTCTAAATGCTGTGCTCAGTACTTTATAAGAAGAGGTTAAGGGCTGGGGTTGTGGTTCAGAGGTAGAGTGCACGCGTGAGGCACTGGATTCGATCCTTGGCACCACATAAAGTAAAATAAAGACATTGCTTTATTTAAAAAGGAGAAGGAGGGGCTGGGGATGTGGCTCAAGCGGTAGCGTGCTSGCCGGGCATGTGTGCGGCCCGGGTTCGATCCTCAGCACCACATACCAACAAAGATGTTGTGTCTGCCGGAAACTGAATAATAAATGTTGAAAAATCCTCTCTCTCTCTTAAAAAATAAATAAATAAATAAAAAGGAGAAGGAGAGAGGTCAATTTAGCTCCCAGTTTTGGGGGTGAAAGTCCAACCAGGCAGCCCTATCTGGCCCCTGGTGAGTGCCTCATGATGGATGGCAGAAGAAATCACATGGTCAGGCTGGAAGCCCGGGACCAGACGGGCCAGTCTCACTTTTTACAGGAACTCACTCTCTGCTCTGGTGCAGAGCAGGCCTACATGCAGTTTGGAGTGTGGGAATGGTGTGTGTAGCATGTGGTCCTGGGTGCTCCTGCTCTCTCCCAGACATGCCGTCCTGTGAAGGACAGCTACCGACAACACACAAGTTGAGCTGAACTGACATTTTATTTATCTTTTGAGGAAACAGTTTCCAATTTTTTTTTAAATCACAAGACCCCACAATTTAGAAGATCTGACCCATATATTGATCCTACCACCTCTCTTCTTGGAGCTCTGGAGGRAAAGCCCTGCCACCATGGCTGAAAAACTGCAACGACAAAGGCCACAGTATCTGGAGACACGGGAGCACTAGCTGCAGCCCAGAAGCCACATCCCAAGATGCCTGGRTCTTCCTTCTCTCAGTCCTAGGACAACAGCTCAAGGAGGCGGAGAATCAAGAACCTGGAGATTACGTACTGCCAGTGTTCCTGGCCACAGAGAACAGGCCCGCAATTCCTGAGGAGTTCTGGAATCCTCCCAGGAAACACAGTTGCTGGAATACTGTGTACGTGTTSGTCTCCCTACGAGTGCCTCAGGCCCTCCAGTTTCCTAGACCCCATTTATATTACTTCACTCCGTATTTCTGCACTCACTCACCTTACCCAAATGGTTTCATCTGGAACTTACCTACATATCCTAGATTTTAGAGATCTGGCTTCTGAGCTGATTCTGCAAAAGCTTCTGAACAAAGCTGGAAGATATGGACAAATCCCTGGGAACAAGAGACCTTTTGCTGTCCTTAGACACACCGAGGCCCTCATACCAACCACTGCCTTCTTCAGGCTGAGCTCTGGACCCACAAATAAGCCAGACAGACTACAAGTCTTTCCCTAAAGGACTCAGGAACCAGTGCAAATGAGGCCAACCTCAACTACAGCTATCCTCTGCCATTCTCTTGTTGCCATGAGGGCAAGACAGAACGTAGGGAGCCCCACAAAAGCGATCTGCTTCATTCACAGCACCATCTTTCCATACAAGGGATCAGAACCCCCAGAATGAAAGGTGTCCAACTTACTGCCCCATATTCCAGAGCAGCAGGAAGTAGCCTGTTCCATGGTCTGGAAAGCACCACATTGATAGTTTTGATGGTTTCTGTGAGAATGGGAAATACCCCTGAGGAGGCCCAGCAGAGTCCAGCTCAGCTTCTCCTGGTCAGAGCTGGGTCACATACTTGCCGAACCTGGCAAGGGGAGGAAAAGTGGCCTGCTATGGGCTCTGCCATTGGTAATTCTCTTCTACCAAGGGAGGGGTCCTGAGGTCAGCTTTCCTGCACCAACTGGGTGACACATGCACACTGTGGGGACCTGCCAGGTGGTGGAGGGGAGATGACTTCAGTCACAGAAACTGGCAATGATAACCAAGTCAACAGCCCTGGGCAGGTCAGAGTGCAATGTAGCTCCCGAGAGTTTCCCACACACCTGGTACACATGGCCATCTCCCCAGGGAACTGGTGGGACACTCAAGGCTTGGCTTCCTTCAGTTAGCATCCTCATAAAGGTCACCATTTTTATTTTTTTTAGTACCAGGGATTGAATTTGGGGCACTTGACCACTAAGCTGTATCTCCAGTCCTATTTGTATTTTATTTAGAAACAGGGTTTCAGTGAGTTGTTTAGCACCTCATCATGCCGGGGCTGGCTTTGAACTCATGATCCTTCTGTCTCAGCTTCCTGAGCCGCTGGGATTACAGGCATGTGCCACTGCACCCGGCCCTTTTATATTTTTTTATTTGGAGACAGGGTCTCACTAAGTTGCTGAGGCTGACCTCAAATTTGCAATCCTCTGAGTTTACAGCCTCAGCAAAAAGTGAGGAACTAAGCAACTCAGTGAGACCCTGTCTCTAAATAAAGTACAAAATAGGGCTGGGGATGTGGCTCAGTGGCTGAGTGCCCCTGAGTTCAATCCCTGGCACTCCCCTCTCCAAAAAAAAAAAAATGTTGCGATCTTCCTGCCTCCTCTTCTCTGGTTGCTGGGATTACAGGTGTGCACCACCACCACCAGCACAAAGGCCATCTTGATCCCCTTTCTTGTGTTGAGCAAGGTGCCAGTGACTGAAGGCTTTCCCACATGCCCTGATCTCCTAAGGCCTTTCTTCAACATGAATTTTCTTATGCTGAAGGAGGGTAGAACTGTGTTTGAAAGCTTTCCCACATTCTGGGCATTCATAAGACCTCTCTTCAGTGTGGAATTGCTGGTGTCGGTTGCGGTAGGACCTGGTGGTAAAGGTTTTCCCGCACAGGCTGCACTCATAGGGCCGCTCTCCAGTGTGAACTTTCCAGTGCTGATACAGGCCAGAACGGGTCACATAAGTCTTCCCACATTGCTCACATTCAAAAGGCCTTTCTCCAGTGTGAACTCTCTGGTGAAGAATGAAGCTATTGTTATATTTGAAGAACTTCCCACATTCCCTGCACTCGTAGGGCCTTTCTCCATTGTGAACTTTCCGGTGTCGGATGAGGGTGGACAGAACGCTGAAGGCTTTCCCACATTTGCTGCATTCATAAGGCCTTTCTCCAGTGTGAATCCTCTGGTGCAGAGCAAGTGCATCTTTGCGGCTGAAGGTTTTACCACATTCACTGCATTTAAAAGGTTTTACGCCTGTGTGAACCTTCTGGTGCTTCCTCAGTTTAGAAGGGTAACTGAAGGCCTTCCCACACTCCTCGCACACATGGGATGTTTCTCCAGTGTGAATTTTTCTGTGATTAATATGAGTTGATTTCTCCTCAAAGGCAGTTCTGCCTGTTTGGTACCTGAAAGGTTTCTCTTCAGAATGAGTTATCAAGTGGTCAAGGAGAGCAAAGGCCTTCAGGAAGCTTCTCCCACAGCTGCTGCACTTGAAGGGTTTCTGAGCAGCACAGACTCTCTGCTGCTGTCCACAGCTGGAGCTGGAGGGGAAGACTGCTCTGTGCCTAGTGGTCCTGCACAGCTTCCCAGGGGTGGCCTGGTGCTGGAGGAAGCCTGTGGTGACTGGGCCATCCTTCACAAACCTTTCATACACAAAAGGCTTCTCTGACAGGTCGACTCTGCAACTCTTCACTTGCTTGGGAGGGGCATCCTCATCCTTCATTCTACACAGACAACCTGAAGTCAAGAAAAAGCCCGTTGCTGGAGTGGGGCTGGAAGGGAGGTACCTTCATCACCAGTGCACATCTCACCTTCCCAGAAGGGACTCCAAAGAACTGCTATGAGTTGCTGGGAAAGGTCTAGAGGAAGAAAGGTTGGACAAGCAGAACTGGGCTCTACTGACCACAGAATCAGGAAGACCTGGATGGAGATGAGGACACAAAATGGGGTGCAATGCAGGGAAGAAACCTGTGGTTACCAAGACACTTGTATCCAAAGGTTGTCAGCAGGGCCTTGGATGCTGGTGACAGTGAGCACTGTGAAGAGGCAGGTGTTTGTCCCAGCAAAACTGCTATGAAACAGCAGCTGGTCTTCAAAAAACATTTAAGGATATATCCGTATCTCACAGGCCACTAGGTGAGGTTATCTAAAGCTTGAGAGTCATGGTACGGAGAAGGCAAAACTGCACAGTGTCCCAAGGGAAAAGGAAGGAGGGAATAAGGTACAGTCACTGACCTCAACACAAAATGCCAGTGTACACAGGTATCCAGCATGCCATGAGCCTGTCAATGAAACCAAGGCATCCCCCTGCTCCACCAAGGAATAAATTAACAAAAGAAGTTAAGTTCTGTACACTGAAAACTTAAGATGTTGAAAAAACCTAAAGAACTMTATCAACGAGACGACACCCCACATTCTCTGATCTAGAAGACTTAGGATGGCAGTATTCCCCAGAATGATGTACTGATTCAAGTTCATGCTCCGGCCTGGTCCAGGGAGGGCCCTATAAAATTTCTTGTGGAAAAAGAAAGCACACCTGGAGCAAGGAGGGACATGTCCTCAGCAGTAAAAGGGCCAGAGTGTCAGAGGTGTGTGGGATTCGGGGGTCAAACAGTGAACCAGTTGCCCCCGAATCCTGCTCCACTCGGCTCTGGAGCCACAGGTGTTTACAGGCTGCCAAGACGGCTGCTCAGGAAGAGGCAGAGACAGGGCACAGCCAGGCCTGGCTCTCACAAAACCCCAAACAGGGACCCCGGGAAGGAGCAGCCCCCGTGGTCCAGGGGAAGGGCCGAGGTGTCAGTGGCTGGGGGCGAAGGAGACTTACCCAGTGAGCCGACGAGCGCAGAGGTCTCCAGCATCACATCTCGGTACAGGCTCCTCTGGGTCACACTGAGGAGACCCCACTCCTCCCAGGAGAAATGCACGGCCACGTCCTCGAACATCACCTGCAGCGGTGGATTCCGCGGAGGCCGGAGTCGGCCAGTGGGGGGAGACTTTGTTTTGGACTCTGCACACCAGGTCCTCGCCGGTGTCTCGGGTCACTCACGGGCAGGACTCTTCCTGTGAGCTCCACCTCCCCCACACGCAGACCCTCATGCCTCTCCTCTTCCTAGACCCCCACCTCGCAAGGAGGCTTCTGAGCCCTGCGTCCGACCCACAGCCGCCACAGGTGCCCACGCGACAGGTGCCCGCGGCCCCACGCACCGGCCCCGCCCGACCTCGCGCCGACGGCCCCGGACGCGCCCCCTCCCCGGCGGGTGCCCACCCGGTGCGGGGCGCGGACCCCAGCGCCGGCCTCACCCGCGCCTCCGCCTGGCGGCCGCGGCCCCCCTGCCCGCACCGGGCCCTCCCTCGGCCCGGCGTCCTCGTCACCGGCGCTCACCTGCGCGGGGCCGGCCATGGGCCCCGGTGCGCCACGCGGACACCTCCCGGGACCTGCCCTCCAAACGCCGGTCTCCCGCGCCCGAGCGCGAGCGAGTCTTCCCGCCGGCCCGGGCGGTCCCTCCCGGCGCCGGGTCCAGCTCGCCGGAGCCCAACGGCCCCACAGGCCGGAAGTCCCCCCGCCGCCTCCTCAGCCGCCCCCGGCCCCCGAGATGGGCCGCGGGGTGGCCCAGGCGACCGAGGAGGGCGCGGACTACATGTCCCACCAGCCACCGCGCCGCGCCTCCGTCCGTCCGTCCGTCCCGGCCCTCGGGGCCCAGGAGTGGGCCCGGCGGCTGCGCCCAGGACGGCGCTCCGGAGGCTCCCGGGCTTCGGAACCGGGATCTCGCCGTCGTGACTCGTGCGGTGAGCAGCTGCTCTTCCGAAAACACTTAAGGTCCCAGGTCCTGGAGGTCGCACTGCTGCGGTGTCGCCGGGTCGCTTGGGGTCCCGGGCAGCAGAGGATCGGAGGAAGGTCGGCGCTCGGTTCCCCGCAGCAAAAGCGCCACAGGACCGCTGGTAGACAAGAGAGGGTGCCAGGGAGTCTCCCCTGCGCTGGCACCATAGGCTCCGAGCCTACCCCGTTTCCAGACTGGTGTCACTTCAGAATTGGGGTCTGTCCAAGGAGGGGTGGCACGAGGTTGAGTGTCTTTGGAGTCAGGGTCTTGGATATATCCTGGGGCTGATGCTGAAGAAGTGTGCGCTCGTGACTTCAGGGCTCACTGCTTTCCTCTACTTTTCCGGTGTTGCCCTTGGAAGTTGCCACTGGTGCTGGGATGAAGGCACTGCCACCTCCTGTTCCTAGCAGCTACAGGAGCATCCTCACACATTCTACCCTGGGGTCATGGGTGGTCAAGATTGGGGGCACAAGTCTAAATCTTCACAGCACATGATGTCCAGCTCAGCCACTTTGTACAAAACGTCAGGCACTGCCTGTACTAACATGGTCCGTTTTGGGTCTACTGTACCCTTCCTGGGCGTTTCTCCTGGACGTTCAGTTTGTGAAGTTCAGTGTTGTGCTCAGTGTACAGCTTATTCTTACCCTCTGGTGTTTGTCACGGGTGTATTGGCCTCTGCTGGGCAGTATTCATAAAAATCTGTCATCCCCAAGGTCTGGCTGCTTCAACATTCCACTAGCAAAATCAGCTGTGGCAGACAGGCCAAAAGGAGACCTGTCCCTGGTGACAGTCCCTCAAGGTGGGTTGATCTCACATCTGCTTCCTGGTCCATGCCGTCTCAGATCTTGGTGAGTCCCTGACTCCTGATTTATTTTTCCATCCTCTTGATAGCTCTCTGAGTCTAGTCCCCTGGCTGTGCCCCTTCTCTCTTAGAGCTCAGCTGTGCAACATTCACCTTTCCTTAACTGCCCTGWTCATACATCCTCTGATAATCCTTGCAGCCCTATTCCTCAGTGACACCTTATTGTCTCCAGTGGAGGTGGGCACAGGTGAAACTGCCCCAGCTCATGGTCAGAAGCCACATACTGACATAGGTGGGTTGTCCCACCTGGACTGGACTTTCACCAGTTTATTCATACCCCACAGGATTGTCACCTTTAAGCTCCATGAGTTTACCCAACTGGAGTACAGTCAAAGGCACTGATTGATGATCTAGATAGAAATGAAACCAGGGATAGCACGAGAGGTTCAGCTGTGGAGATTGCAAGTGGTGGGGGGAGTCTCCCTGGGGTCTTCTTATACTGGTACCTGAGCTGTCCTTCTCGTGTCTGAATGCCAAGGTCACGAGCCTTGCCAACTTTCAATCTTCCTCCTGATCTGCTGGACAGTCTACCTTCATACCTGCTTACTGATTCCTGTAACTGTCCTCTGACTTGTTTTTGGTACCGGGTATTGAACCCAGGAGCACTTTACCACTGAGTTCTGTTTTTTTTTTGATAGGGTCTTGCTAAGTTGCTGAGGCTGGCATTGAACTTGYGATCCTGCCAAAACCTTCTGAATCACGGGAGTACAGGTGTTTACCACTGCGTTCGGCTCTCACTCCCTCTTACTGCCCAGTTCTAAGATGCTGGCCACTCCTTAACATGCTATGGACTGATACATATTTTTTTTAAATATTTATTTATTTTTTTAGTTTTAGGTGGACACAACGTCTTTATTTTTATGTGTGTTGAGGATCGAACCCAGTGTCCGGTGCATGCCAGCAAGCGCGCTACCGCTTGAGCCACATCCCCAGCCCATTGATACCTATTTAGTCACTGAAAACTGGTAGTTCTGTGAAGTGAGTTTGTTCTGCCCCACCAAGGAGTAGGTCACAYAGTGAGAGCATCACACAGTTGGTCCTGAGCCGTGTCAGACAAGTTCCCTCTCTTAACCAGGTTCTCTCTTGAGCCTGCGTTCACGGCTGTTTGTCCTGCTTCCTGGTTCCTCACTTTGGTTTCACTTTTCCCACTTCACATTTCAGGCTGAGTGCTTCCCTAGAGACCACAGAGTCTTACTAAAGAGGGGACAAGGTGACCCCTTCCTCTAAGGTGCTCCACTGGGCACTGGCTGCTGGTGACAGCCAAGCATTGTGAAGATGCTTGTGTCACGGGGTGGGTGATGCTCTCCTGTAATCCCAGCAACTCTGGAGCCTGAGACAGGAGGATCGTAAGCTCTAGGCCAACCTGGGCAACTTAGTGAGATCCTGCCTCAAAATAAAAAGGACTGGGGCTGTAGTTTGGTGGTAAACACCCCTGGATTCATTCCCCAGTACAAAAAAAAAATCTCAATTGAACAGAGGGCTGATTTACATCAATTGTGACAGCCTTGCTAAGTCTTAAGTTCCTTGTGTGAGAATTAAAACAATTGGTAGAAATGTAACACTGAAGCTCAATGGGAAYATCTGGTTGAACCCAGATGAAATGAGTTCCCAAGGCCTCTGAGTCTCTCTTGCCAGCAGTAGTTTGCTCTTCAGTGTCTGAGAAAACTGTCCCTGCTCTGCTTGAAAACCCGCGAGAAACTCACCTGGGGCACATGCCCATTCTCAGCAAGAGCCACATGACCTCTACCTAAGGCTGCTAGACCCATAAYTAGGTTACATCTCAGCTTCTCGGGGAGAGAAAAATGACTTCACATGGAGAAACTTCAAGACTGCCATTAATGCATCGGTGGGAAACTGGATAATGTGTGAGATGGATTCTAAGGTCAAGGAGGGTGGAATTTAATAACAGGGCTGACATTGTTGCAATTTACTAAAATTTCCAATTTGATGTTCTTGCTCAGTTACGGAAGGCTTAAGAACTGGACTCACTGGTGGCCTGGAGTCAGTGAGACAGAGACGCCAGATCTTCCCTGGTGTGAAGTGGAGGGGAGGCCAGAGGCTTAGAAGGACAGGCTTGCTGGACTGGATTCATCCCGTGAATTGTCTTGTGCTCCAGTCATTAGCTAAATACTAACATCTCTGCTGTAATCCCCAGAACCTGTGACTATGTTATTTTACATGGCAAAATTAATTTGCAGATGGGTTTAAGGTTGCTAATCAGCTGCCCTTAAAATGGGGATTGTATCCTGGATTATTCCTGTGGACCTTGGAAAGCAGAAGAGGAGCAGACTTGGTAGTATGTGCCTCTAGACCCAGCTGCTCAAGGATGTAGGCGACAGGATGGCTCAGCCCAGGAGTTCATACCTGGGCAACACTGTGAGACACCATCTCGAAAAAAGAACACAAGTGGAAAAGTGAGAGAGACAACAATTAAAGAAAAAAACAAAAACAAAACTGAGGAGCGATTGAAAGCATGAGAGGAAACCGAACGGCCATGACTGACTCAAGACGGAGGAAGGGGACCACAAGCCAGAGAAGGCAGAGGCCTGTGGAAGGGGAGAACGGGGTGCACCGTGGGTGCCATGACTGACAGCAGAGGTCTATGGAATCGTCTCCTGCGTGATGCAGATAGTGCTGGAGATGACCGGACAGTGAGTCTGCAAGCAATTCTAGACCCCAAGAAGGAGCACACAGCCAGAACCAACCATCTCAATGTGGACTTTCAATGGGTAGAACCCTGCAGGTGTCCGACAYGAATCTCAGAGAAATGGAAAATTAGGAAACAATTTTTACAAAGAAACAGAAGGCAGCATTGCTGGAGCACATGAAAAATGCTGGGCACAAAAAGCAGAATCTTCAAGCCAAACGAATACAAAAAAAAATTGCCCAGAGCATGATGCTTTGGCAAAAAAGATCCAGCATCATCCAGACAGGCACAAGACACTAAAGGAACTGGAGGCTCTGAGGAAAGAATCAGCACACCTTTCACAGACTCAAGAAAGCACTGGAGATAAGCTGGAATTGAGACAGAAACAGCCTCACGTTCTTCTCATACCATACACCATTCAGCAAACCCTGGAAAATGATAAAAAGCTCTAAGACAGAAGCTCAGGAAACAAACATGGACAGGCTGATCCCCATTCCCAAGGGTACTGGCAGAGCTTGGTGATCTTAAGTGTGTCTAGAATATCCTAAGATATCTGAAGCTTGGTGGTGACATACTGTGTTCTTACATATTAATGATAATTAATATTAAAAATAAATGAGAACACACTTATTTTAATATAAAGGAAAACAGCTTCAGTGTCTGTTTGTTTTATTGAAATGAATTTTTCATTTTTAAAAGATAGGCAGCAACACCCACAATCATTTAATAAAGGTCTTCAAACTAGATGTTTTTGCTCATTATTATTCCAGATGGTTTGTTTTTTGGTCCTGTGATTGGACCCAGGGGCACTCAACCACGGAGCCACATCCCAGCACTTTTTGTGTTTTATTTAGAGACAGGGTCTTGATGAGTTGCTTAGGGCCTCACTCAAGTTGCTGAAGCTGGCTTTGAATTTGCAATCCTCTTGCCTCAGCCTCCTGATCTGCTGGGATTACATGTGCCACTTGGGTAGTTTTTAACTGGTAACATTGATTCCTTATAAAATAAGTTGAAGATGTGAGAAGGTGGCATTTCTAGGATGTATGTAAGAAGATGAGTCAACTTCTAGAAATCACCACTTTGGAAAATGAAGTCCATAAATAGGCTTCAGAGGGYCACGAACCTGTGAAATTCTGTGCAAAACGTGTGTGGTGTGCGTTTGTTGTGGGAGAGATTCTTTGATGCTGAGAACCACTGAGTGGTATGACCAAGAGCAGCAAAGCAAATCCATCCATGTTCACCACTTCCTCTTTGAGGAATGTGGTGGTTAAATGTTTTCTTATGTGCTTTGTTTCAACTGTTTGTCTTTAGGACTATTTTAATCAAAAAATATTTGAGGTGAAAAAAAACGGTGAGAATGATCCTCGGGCTGGTGTCCAGCAAGGACATCAAGACCTGTTGACAACCACCGGAAGCTGAACTCTGAATCCCAATGAGCAAGATGTCTTTCAGAGCCTCAGAGGGAGTGCAGCCCGCTGACACCTCAGTTTAGGTCCAGTGAGCCCCGTGTGGGACTTCTGACCTCAGAAATGGAACTCTAAGGCACACATCTGTGTTTTGTCTTAAGCTGTGAGATTTGTGCTGATTCGTTGTGGCAGCCGTAGGAAACATCACCATTCCCAACCATGCTCTTCCAGAAGAGGAGGGAGGTCTCTTCCACTACTGTGATTGAGACACTGAGAGAACTGCGGCCATGAGGATCTCTGCAGGCCAGTTATCACCAGAGATGCTGCCACTGGTGTGGTTCTTAACTGTCCAGCACAGGTGGGCGTGCCTGCCAGGGGAATGCCTTGACTGACTGATTACAGTTCTCAAAAATAAATGAGAACCACAATAATGGGAAGTTATTCTCCACGTATGTATGATATGTTAAAATACAACCTATTGTCATGCRTAACTAAAAAGAACATATTTTAAAAAGTGAAAAAGAAAATAGTGGGGCTGGGGCTGTAGCTCTGTAGCAGAGTGCTTGCCTAGCACACACCAGGCACTGGGTTCAATCCCTAGCACCACATAAAAATAAAAATAAAGGCATTCTGTCCCTCTACAACTCCAAAAAAATTTTTTTAAATAGTGTATTATTGGGGCTGGGGATGTGGCTCAAGCGGTAGCGCACTCGCCTGGCATGCCTGCCGCCCGGGTTCGATCCTCAGCACCACATACAGACAAAGATGTTGTGTCTGCCAATAACTAAAAAAAAAATATTAAAAAAAAAACTCCAAACTTCTGCTCCTTGCAACCCCACTCCTAGCTCTTTCAGACAAAAGGAAGAAAATGTATCCCCAGTTTCCCTCAGGAAAAGGAGTCTTCTTGACATAAAGATTCATAAAGTGGGGGCCACAAAAACATCTCTGGTTGAATGATCAAACTTTGTGGAAATAAACTTGTTTAAAAAAATAGTGTATTATTATCCCATGTGCATATATGACTACATGACTGGTGTGATGCTACATCATGTACAACCGGAAAAATGGTAAGTTATACTCCATGTATGTATGATGTGTCAAAGTGCATTCTACTGTTATGTATAACTAACTAGAACAAACAAAAATAGTGTTCATTTGGAAAGGCAGGGCCAAAGTCAGTGGTAAGATAAATAAATGAGTATTGTGTGGACTATTAGATAAGCTCTAGTTCTGGTGCCAAAGACCTGACTTCATTTGCCGGGAGAGAATCACAGCCCCTCGGTTTTCAGACAGGTCAGCTCACAGCCTGGCAGACACTTTGCTTGAAGACGAGACCAGGTTTTCCTGAGAAAGGACCTGGCATCATTGTCAACAGCAGGCACCACTGGACTGGGTGCAGCTCAGGGCAGATTGCCTGCCCACCTGTGCCAGGCCTGAGTTCCATCCCCGGCGCACACACAGTGCACAACCTCAGTCTTCTTCCACACCTTCCCAGAGGGACTTGCAGCTAGTTATTAGGGTGACCACACTGGGGAAAAGGATATGCCCAGCCCTTCTGGGGTTTCCTGAACACTGTGTGTACATTGACAGTTCCTCAAACCCCAAACACCATGATTGTCTTTTAGTTAAAGTGGAGCCCATAATGGTCCATTGATAGATGGTCTTAACTCAGGTACAACACACTCTCTGTGGGGGGGGGGGGTGCACTGGGGATCTAACACAGATGAACTCTACCACTGCACTACATCCTCAGGTCTTTTTATCTTGAAACAGGGCCTAAGTTGCTGAGGCTGGCCTCAAACTTGCAATCCTCCTGCCTCAGCCTCCTGAGTCACTGGATTACACTTGCATCACGGCACCAGCTTCAAGTACAACTCTGGATGAATTCCTTGGGTTCACTGGCCCACCCTGGTTACTTCCCCAGCCACTGAGTACATAATTGGTATAGGCATACCAATACCTGGCACAACCCACATCACCACACTGACCCCCAAAGTGAGTCACTTTGCAAGAGGGTTAAACGGAAGCCTCTGTATATCTATGCCCCACCTAGATAGCAAACTGGAAAGAGCAGCACATCCCTGGAAGAAATGCAGATTGGATCCACAGTCAGACTTTAGAACAGCAGAGGTGGGTGTGCACATCACATTCCCATTTAACTCATGAGTTCTGCCTGTGCAGCAGTTATCATTTTTAAAAAGTATTTTGTCATGAACCTTTATTTATTTATATATGGTGCTGAGAATTAAAGCCAGTGCCTCACACATTCTAATCAAGTGCTCTACCACTTAGCCACAACCCCAGCCCAAAAGTTAGCATATTTTGATGAATGTGAACCACAGTAATTTTTTTTGTGCGTGTGTGGTGGTGCTAGAGATTGAACCCAGGGCCTTATGCATGTGAGACAAGCACTCTACCACTCTACTGAGCTCTACCCCCAGCCGAACCACAGTAGATTTAATCCAGTGGTGACACCAATTATCCCTGCTGTTCCAGAGGTAGTGCCCTTACTGCAACATGCAACAAGCCCCCAGCGCTGGGCATGCAGCCCCGGAAAAGTGGGTGTCTTTTTCTCCACATAGTTTGAAAGGACCACCAGAAACCATTTGCTTTTGCCTGGCCAGACCAACGGTGCACCTCCACACTGGTGCCTCAGGACCTGTCAGTCTGCTCTCTGCCATCATACAGCCCACAGAGCTCTTGATCATCTGGACACTCCAAAGGTGCCACATCAATCACTTTGTTGATGACATTATACTATGTGCATCTGATAAGAAGTAGCAAGTACATTAGATACTTAATAAGACACAGGCAAACAGAGTAGGAGAGAAAACCTATGCAAATTCAGGGACTGCTACCTCTCTGAAGCCCTGCTGAAGTCTGACTGTGGATCTAATCTGCATTTCTTCCAGGGATGTGCTGCTCTTTCCAGTTTGCTATCTAGGCGGGGCATAGATATACAGAGGCTTCCGTTTAACCTTCTCGCATAGTGACTCACTTTGGGGTCAGYGTGGTGATGTGGGTTGTGCCAGGTATTGGTATGCCTATACCAATTATGTACTCAGTGGCTGGGGAAGTAACCAGGGTGGGCCAGTGAACCAGAGGAGTTCATCCAGAGATGTACTGGAAGCTGGGTGCGGTGGTGTCTGATTCTATCTACCACAACAGACCAGAGGCAAAGCACTTGTAAGCCTGTCATGTCTGACTCTACTTCTTTGACTATCCACAGAGTGGTCAAGCTTCCTGTTTGGGGTGGGAACCAGAAAGAAAGAAGGCTCTGAACAGCTTCAGGCTGCAGGGCAGCCTACTCTACTACCTGGCTTGTGATTCAGCAGATTCAACATTTGAAATGTTTGTGGCAARTGAGAATACTGTATGGATTGCAGAAGCTCAGGCCGCTGAGGCAGGAGGATTGCAGGTTCAAAGCCAGCCTCAGCAATTTAGCCCTACCTAACTGGGTGAGATCCTGTCTCTTAAAAAAAAAATACAAAAATAGGGCTGGGCCTGTGATTCAGTGGTTAAGCACCTCTGGGTTCAATCCCCCGTTACAAATTAAATAAATAAATATATAAACAAACAAACAAACTAGTATGGAGCCTCCGCAAGCAGCAAAGCACAAGAGGATTTAGGAGCAAGTCTGTACCTTCTCTACCTTGGAGAGACTTTCTAGCTTGCTACTGCACCTTTAGTAGCAAACGAATGCCTATGAGCCATCAGGCAACCATGTGGCCTTAATGCCATCATGAGCTGGGTATTGTCGGACCCTTGTAGCCCTGAGTCAGCTGGGCACATGCAACAATCTGCTGTTTTGTGAAATGGTCTCTTAGAGATCAAGCTCGGCCTRCGACTCAGCAGGCCCTGCCTCAAGACTTGTGGAGGGCTCAGTGGCAGAGCATTTGTCCAGCATGGGCAGCTCCCTGGGTTCAAATCCTGTACTGAGAAGAAAAAAAAGACTTGATTGAGGAAGAAGAGAGGGTACATTTATAGCAGAAAGGGGCCATAACACCCACCAAGCCAGGGACAGGTAAGTGGGATCCGCTGGGCCCACTGAAAGCCCAGCCCCCAGACCTTACCCTATAAAACCTGAGGTGACAGCTGCTGGGCTGCTTTCAGGGGCACTCGAGGGGAGCCAAGGCCTGCGTGTGCACAGCCCCAGCACCCACGGCTCCAGCCAGGGGAGCAGCGAGTGGTCCAGTGTTGGGGTGCACTGGCCTTCCCAAGTTCCCAGGGGTGAGGCAGCGTGCTGAGGAGGGCAGGAGGGACGGACTCAGTGAGCTTGAGAGCTCAAGGCTCTCCAGCATCACCCCGTGGCACAGGCCTCTGAGCACACTGTGAACCTC